AAAAGTGAATCCCTACCTACCGACCCTAATTTTTTCTGGACTGTAATAGGAAACACAACATTTATTTTGTTAGGCCTAACGTTACCATCAGAAAATCTTGTTGGAAATTTCACCAAGATAAAAAAAAAAAATTTCAGGTACACAACGCCATTTTGCAAATTTACTTGCAACAGTAAGCCGCACTAGATAACCTGATCAACCACTCGTGTCCAGTCGGACCGCTACATAAATTAAATTGCTACACACTGGCCAAGGTCGTCTGAAGATCACTGAAATGTTTCCCGCCAAATAAACCAGAAAGGAGGCAAATGGACAATTTGACATCTTCTCGACAAGAATTCTGCTTCACACAGCTCCAAAATTAATTTCTGACCATAAAAGTTAGATGAGGGATGCTTTTTATATATTCTAATTCGGCCGTGACCCTTATCACTGCACGGTTCGTGCCAGAATTTCCGATCACCATGGTGGGCGGGACTGTTTCACTCACCACTTCAAAACAGGGGTGATCTTTATAATTATCTAGGTCAGTCACACGAAAATAGACAAAATGAAGAACAGAACAAAAGTTTTCATGTATCAGTAACTGTTATAGACGATAATCAAGAATATTATAACAATTCGAATTGTACTTTTGAGGAGGAGTAGGGCTATTATGATAAAAGTTTCAGGCCACACCCCCTATTTGCATAATGTACTTCGCCCGCCGGTCGCTAAGCGGGGTCATCGCCCTAGAGTTTGTAGGACATCAGTTTGCAAGTCCTTTTCCTAAGACACTACCTCGATAATCGACATAAACAGTTGATAGTATGATACCTCCGACTCCTAAGTTGTACTTGTTGGGGTGGTTGTCTTCCCTGTAGCGCGCTGTCAGGGCAAATACCGGCACGGGAGGAGCGAGCTCCACATCCACGAACCTGGACGTCGCCATCTTCTTTTCACATGGGATTAGTGATAGTCGGCTGACGCTGCAGCAGCGACACCTAGCGGAATTTTCACTCACGACAGGCTTTGGCATGCTTTTACAATGGCGGGTCCCCTAGCGAGCAAAGTGAATATTGCAGTCTCGTCACACTTTCTTTCTTTCTATAAATACTGAGCAAAACCCTATCTTGGACACTTGACTTTCCTCTTTCTTTTCCTCTTGTCGTTTCAAGATTTCTTGAACTTGATGTTCGAAGAACATTCACAGAAAGAACACTTAGTTTTTTTTCGATTTAATGAAGGAAATTCACCAATTTGTAAACTGAATCTATTTATTGGGGTAATTGCAACATCTGCACATGCGTCTTACTCATCACGGGTTAAAGGTCACATACTCCAGAAGACCGAAGCAAGATGGGTTTGTTTGGGAAGTCTCAGGGCAAAGACCCCAAAGAACAGGTAAATTTTCTCTCCTTTTGTAAAGTCACAGGACTCCTATCTTTTCTCTAAGCGTTCTTGATATCTTTAGGCATCATTTAAAGCAACGACAATGTTTCGTCTGCGTGTGAAGCCGAACGCAAAACGAGTTTGTTTGCAAGAATTTTACAACACACCGAACATGGCAGCACTTCCGCATGTCGAAAGTTCCTTATAACTGATGTTTATGACAGCCGAATACATCCACTCTTCATGGCCACAGATCTATATGTGTTACCATACAATACATGGGTGTTGAGTTTTGAGCTCTTAAAGTGGTAGGTGCGTTTATAAAGCCTTAAACTTAATGTTTGTATTACGTACCAGTGTGTGACTGGTTCGACTTGTTTGAGACAGTTAAACAGGGTGTGTTATCATATACACAATATTCCAACTCCCAAGTTTCTGTCTTCGTGTTTTAGTGGGGACACACAACAGGTTACAAGTTATGTATGAGAGTAATGTTCACTCTTAAAAAGCCTTGACTTATATTAGATATCTGGTTTAGAATTGTGTCATTGGTAAATTTGTTGATGGTATTGATTTTAACAGGTGAGAGAATGGACCAGTCAGTTGAGGAAACAGGACCGGGTTTTGGACAGACAGATCAGAGGTAAATATTACATTACAATTATATAATTACTGTTGTTCTGATCCAACAAATACAGTAAAATATAACACTGTGAATCAGTACACTGGTATTTGTTTTGGGGGGGATTTGAACTGAATCCTTAGGTCCGGTTCTAAATCAGTCTAGTGTACCAATACACACCGTGATGTCAGATTAAAAATTTTGTGTCTCACATTAGTGGCCAAACCCCCAAAATTGCTAATGTCGGGTAACCAGAAACACAGCATGTTTTTCCCTAGGCGTACATATATGTGTAAGTTAAACTAATTTTGCTTCTACTCTGTGACAGGGATTCAGAGGGAGGAGGAGAAGGTGAAACGGTCCCTGAAGGAAGCGGCTAAGAAGGGTGACAAGGACACGTGCCGCATCCTGGCGAGGGAGATGGTGCGATCGAGGAAGGCCGTCAGTAAGATCTACACGTCCAAGGCACAGATCAACTCTGTCTCCATGGGCATGAAGAACCAACTGGGTAAGGGGGTGGTCTGGGTAACGCAAACTCTGCCATCCATGGCTTTTTTAACAAAGGCAAACTCTGCCGTCTGTGGCTTTTGTGGCCCCTCCACGCAGAGCTTTTCAGGAGGGCAGCTGGATGGAATAAGGGATAAATGACTTTTTTACAATCATGTCCCTGTGATCCAATCGGTAAGGTAATCACGCTGGTTGGTCATATGGGTCAAATTCTGTAGACCCATGCATTGGTGTGAGTTCTGTCAAAGGGTGGGCTCAGCTCGGACATGTTGTGAGGGATCGCATTTACTTCAGACAGTGATGTAAAGCCAGTGGCCCCATGTACAAGGGAGCTTCAGGCTTTTGTACTTAAGTAGGCTTTAGGTGTACATGATCCCCCTGTGAGCTCTAGGTGAAAGAATGTATTGTGTTGGATGTAAAGTTTTAACTCTAAGCATGTAACTACCAACACAGATGAACTTTCATGATGATCCCCTTGTGTTGACTGTCACAGGTGTTCTGAAGGTGGCAGGTGCGATGGAGAAGAGCACGGAGGTGATGAAGTACATGCAGAACCTCGTCAAGGTGCCTGAGATCCAGGCTACCATGAGGGAGATGTCCAAGGAGATGATGAAGGTAAGAAGGGCTAGAGGAGGGTACAAGATCAAAGGTTGTTTTGCTTGTTTAGTTGTTTGCAAGTCTTTAGGCGTGATACACCAGTTAAAAATAAGCTGCGTAAGACCAGACTGTAAGGTTTGAATCACTCACACTGGGAAGGACCCTTACTCTTCTTCCTGTAAAACTTCCCCCACCCATGTGCTATCAACCTAACTACTGACTGTTTGGACAGATACACAAACCGATACTTCCATACCAAGTAGTAAAAAAGAAAAAAGATAATCTAAGAGTAAGAAAGTCTCATAAGTTCTTGCAGGTCTATCCATGCTTTCCACATCTCTAATGATCAGGTACCATTGAAAAAAAACATAGGACGACCTGTTTGTGTTGTTGCACTTCAGGCAGGCATTATTGAGGAGATGTTGGACGACACGTTTGAGACGTTGGAGGATGATGAGGAGCTGGAGGAGGAGACGGAAGCGGAGGTGGAGAAGATCCTGTTCGAGCTCACAGCAGGTGGGAGTACTGGGACTTTTATTTCCATAAATAGTTATGTTTACCTTCGCAGAAGTTCTGTTTCTTTTCCTTCTTCTTCTCCAAACACATCAATGACATGGACCAGATGTCTGTCACCATGGAAACTGGTGCTATGTTTACATTTACATGTTGTTTCTACAATTTCTACTTGTCCTTCCCCAGGAGCGTTGGGCCAGGCCCCGAGCAAGGTGACTGATGAGTTGCCGGGAGACGAGGTTTTGGAGGGAGCGGTGGGAGGAGTGGAGTCAGAGGAGGAGGAGGACATCTCAGCCATGCAGTCCAGGTTAGCTGCACTTCGCAGCTAATCTGCTAGGGGGCAGCACTGCTCCACGAACGTGCCCTGAGTCGCACGTCGGCAGAACGTACTGTGCCTGGGGGGAAACCTGTATTTTCCTTGGATTTTTGTTTACGCTGCATCAGAATTTTGCCTGTTGCATGCAATATTTTTTTCGACATAACATTTGGAAACTACAGACGGGATGTTAACCTTATATAGGCGAATACAACTTTGGCGTTCTGAAGAAGTGCTATGCACAATACATTTTCGTTTTTACGCAGGCATGGTACATTCTGCCGATGTGCTCCCAGAGTCCATCCTATTGTATAGACTGCATTTCCTTTCTTACATTTTCTTTCAGTTTGAGAATTTCTCTACCTAGTAGCCCATTTGCAAAGTTAAAATCAACAATTCAATACAAAAAGGTTGTGCTGTTTTTTTGGGGGAAAATGTTTTGTCTAAAAATGAGCAAAGGTATTCCTGTATATACATGTAGACATATTTGCTAACTCACGGGTAACTTGAAAGAAAGAAATCATAACAGCATTCTATTCATACATGCATGGAGATGGCATTACAATAGTTTATTCACAGAGAGTGTAACACCACAAACTATGAATGTGCATGTACATGTATATGTTTGGCCTTATCTTGTAGATAGGTAATATTATCTAAACTTAACTAGAATAACCACCATGCATCGTTAGTGAGTGAGTCAGTGGGCTTAAACTACAGGTGCTTTACTCCAAAAAAAAATACCGGGTATGAAAAGAAAAGATAATGATTTAAAAGATAAAGATTTAAAAGATAACATTCACCGTTGACAATCACAGTCTTTACATCAATGTTGTATACGACATAGGCTAGCTTCCTTAGCATTCTCTCTGTTTATGTGGAAAAGAATGACTCAATATTTCTGATTGCTTATTTTATTAGGTCCAGGACAACTTGGTTCTTGGTTATGAAGACTTTTGATGTGTTATGAAGTCCCTCTCTTTTTTGAAGGCAAGATAAATAACACTGTTTCTATTCACATTGTAGTATAGGGTGCTGTATTATCTGTATTGAGTGTTTTTAAACATCTATTACACTCTTGTATCTAAATGTTGAATAATACTGACTTCACAGACAGTATACAAGCACAATTTACAACATTGTTGTGCAATGGACAAGCTCTGAAGCATGCAGATTCAAACATCTGTAAACTCACTGTCCCACCAAATGTTAACTTCACCTTTTCTAAACTGTAAATATTGCTTCCACTAGTCAGGCCTCTAGAAGCTAGATTGCCAACACCTCTAAGTCAGGAGTAGTGGCAAATCTTATTGAGTCATGCATAGTAGTAGTCTATGCTAACATCATTGACCAATTATTGTCCATGGTGAGAGAGAAACCTGAGCTCCTATTTGTAGTTCTGGGAATGGTTCTCTTGATTTAGAGAGGTGTATGGCCACAAGCTCTCTGGAGGAGGCCCAATCAGCCCCTGAAAACAAGAGATTGTGTATCAGGGGCTAATAGAATGCACAAGAATGGTTTGTGTATATTTCTTTAAATTAGTATTAATGATGCATCTTTCAACTTGGCCAATAAAGAGCTACCTGTATTTGCAAATATTTTGCTACATGTAGTTTGAACCTTTTCCTTGCAATCGCTGAGGTAGCCTCTGTGATAACAGAGCATGGGGTGGTGATGTAAGAACAGAAGTTTTCTCTCTCAAGGTCTGCTTGGAAATTACCATTTTCTAGCCCAGTGATTTATTTATTCATTGGTTTGGCTGTTCAACCCTCACAGCCAGGGCAGACCAACTAAGCAGTGGCTATTACAAAGGGCTTGTCCTGCTGATGTCCTGCTGATGAGACTTTCTTTTAAAGGAGGCAGTTGTGGTGGTGGTGCAAGCGCCAGTGGAGAATGCGTTCCAGAGTGGCGTTGCTTAGTCCAGTGATCTTTCCCCCTTCTGGCCAAGGGTAGACATGACAGTTTTCTGTCTCTTGGGTCGGACAGGTTGTGGTGTTTGTGTTTGTGTTGGGGGTGATTCAGGGTCTTCTTGGTCTTCCTGAACTTTATCCAACAACCAATATGTGGTCATTTTCCCTTTACCCTGAGTAAGAGGAAAGAAATACCAAGAGAAACAAAAGATTGGTTAAAATTGCACAAAGGACATGAATCAATGAGCATAAACAGATCTTTGACTGGTACAGATTTGTCCTGGAAGTGTTTAATTTTTGACACAAGTTTGACAGTAAATATGTTATAAAAGAATATTTGGAAGCAGGAATACACAAAAAAAAGTACACATTTGACTACTCTGGCACAACATTGGGAATCATGTCATATTAATGTCAATTGAGCATGGCATGAATGATTTCTTCCTCTGCATCTTTTTCTACTAGTCTATGTCACCGGTGCAATGGCCATGTGGGTAGAGTGCTCGCCTTGCATTCGGTAGGTCATGAGTTTGATCTCCAGCCATGCAGGTCATACCAAATACTTTAAAAATGGTACATATCGGTTTCTCTGCTTAGCACTCTGCATTTGGAAAAGAGTATGGGGTGTTAGACACAAATCAATACCAGTGGACTAGCCCCCTGCCGTAGTGATTGCACAACTGTGTGGCCCAAGGGCTTTTGAACTGGAGATGGGCACCGCCCCTATGCACCACGTGGGAAAGAATTTAACTTTTTAACTTAACTTCTGTACCCACCTTGACTTGTATCTCTCCCCGGAGGACCAGGTCGTAAACTCCCTTGTGCTGAGCCAGCATTTTTGCCGTGGTGCCGCTCACGTGGATTCGCAAGGGGGCGCCCGTGGACTCCATGCGGGAGGACGTGTTGACGGTGTCGCCGAACAGGCAGTAGCGCGGCATGGTCAGGCCGACAACTCCTGCCACTACAGGGCCTGCAGGAAACAACGTGTACAGTGCTTGTAGTTAGCGTTCTTAGTTTTATACTCTCCAAACAGTGGGCAGAGGTAGATGAAGATCAGTGGTTCACACTGATATGAGAGTAGCGCGGCATGGTCAGGTCGACAACTCCTGCCACTACAGGGTCTGTAGGGAAGTACGAAAGACCATAAGTACAGTGTAACAAGCCCGTGGACTCCATGCGGGAGGACGTGTTGACGGTGTCTCCGAACAGGCAGTACCGGGGCATGGTCAGGCCGACAACTCCAGCAACTACCGGGCCTGCAGGAAAGTAGACCGAGAAAAAGTGGTCGTCGTGGCCAGATACAAACGTTGCTTGGGCAATTTTGACTATGTTTTATGCGTTTTTATTGCACTTTCTTCTTACGTAACGCTCATGAATTGACAGAAGCCATAATTTAAGCCAGAAGAGGGACCATGAGCCACCCTGTAACCATTAGCCCCTGTGAGTAATGGTCGCTTCTCTGGCCAATGAAGACTGTGTTGCCACCTGCTTGGAGATAAGAAAATAGCCTTAGATGTAGACCTACCTGTGTGGATGCCAATCCTGAGCTGCAGCGGTTTGTCGTTCTTGTGGCTGATGCGGAAGTTGTGCACGTCCCTCAGCAGGGTGAGCGCCATGTCGGCGATCTCCGTCACGTGCCGGTCCCCGTTCCGCTCAGGCAGGCCCGACACAACCATGTACGCGTCTCCGATAGTCTCCACCTGGGGATCGAGACACAGTTTTTAAACTAGAAAGGTAACATTTGCTTAAAATTATATTTAGCAACTACATCATGTTTACTTTATATGATCTACCACAACAACCTACTGCTCCTTTGACGAACATTCTAAACAAAAAATACAACAAAAGAGTTTGCACTGTTAATTCTTAATAGACTATTCGGTGACCATGCAGCCCATCCAACTCTGTCTTGCCACTTGCTACATATTGTTATCCAACACCACAGGTTGTATCTACAGCACAAGTTACCATGGTGACAGATAGACGTCTGGTCCAGGTCATTGACTTTATTTGTTTGGAACGGAAGAAGAAGAAGAGACTGAGGAAAAAACAATGTTTTCCTTCTGCGAAGGTAAACATGAAAATAAAACAATTTTGTTTATTCTTACAGAATCACACTAATATATATGGTGACCATGCAGCCCCTCTTGATCTCAGTTCTACATGGTACTTGCAACATTATGTAACCCAACACCAGTTACCACGGTTACAGACGTCTGGTCCTGGTCATTGACTTATTTCTTTGGCGAAGAAGAAAAGGAAGAAGAGGGAGGGAGCAAAAACAGTAGGTTTTTCTTCTGAGAGGGTAAACATAATGACCTTGTAGACGTCAAAAGCGTCGATGATGGCATCGAAACAACAGTACAGATCGTTCAGCATGGTCACTACCTGAACAGAAAAAGAAAAAAAATGATTCGCACGTTGTGTCAAATTCTTTATTACTACAGACCAGTTCTATGTGCAAATAAGACAAGAGCACCAACCTACGTTAATGCACCCGGAAAGGTCTATATTACAAATGCAAGTTTAACAGCCTACGCATAGTACGTAATACTAGGTAACATTCATATTTATTGGAGACTGCCCCTGGCCTCTACCAGGCTTCGACAAGCTACTCTAACAGGCACAGACCAACTCCCCTGGCATATCGTCTATTTGGCCAATTTATACTGTTTCCAGCCACTTTCCAAAGCCTGGTAGATTCTAGACAGTACCCTTTTCTGTTAATGTTGGAAACTTAGTCTTAACCCACATCCATGGGAGTACTGTCCGCCGCCATTTCCGTAAAACCCACGATGTCGCTGAAGAAGATGGTCGCCATATCGTAGTGTTCGGCCGTCACTGGCTTGCCCTGCTTCAGAGTGTCCGCAACCGAACTGTACAGTAAATAGATAACATACATCAGAAGTGAGAGTTTTCAGGCTCCTGGGAAGTATGCATTCCTCTCCTTTCTGAATTCCCCCCTGACCAATCACTTCTGATGGTTCCCGGCCAGATTCTGAGACCTTTAACATTCTGCCTGTCAATCTCATCCACCCACGAGCTGTCAACCTATTCTGTCTGGACAAACAGATATACAAACCCACAGCCAGCTCAGCCGCCCAAAACAATACTCCCATACCCGTAAGTAATAAAACAATTTACACAATAAGGCGGGAATTACTTCAAGAAATTGTATGAGCCCTGGAAGATTAGACTTTTGGGCCAAAGGGCATCGAAGAAATAAAGAGAAAGAGAAGAAATTTAAAAAAATTATGAAAGGAAAATTATCCTAACGTTGGCAGCATCCTCTGCAGCAGGAGTTCGGTCTTCCGTTTCTCGTCCTCCAGTTGTGACGTCCTCTCCGCCACCACGCTCTCCAGGTTCTTAGTGTACTTCTCCAGCTTAGCGATCACGTTGTCCACAATGTTGAACGTTCTGTAAGTCAAAAAATAGTTATCAACAAAATAGTTATCATCGTTATCATCACCGGTACGGTGATAACGATACCAGGTCAACTGTATAGCTGTAAGAGAATCATCAGCAAAATATCATTCAGGTAATCAATCAATCAATCAATCAATCAATTAGCATTTCAAAATGGCTTACTTTTAGATAGACGGATATTGAATTGACAATTTGGCAAGTCTATAAGTAAAATCAGCTGAAAGCAGACATTGGAAAGTAGATAAATGTTTCTTTCTACAACAGCTCCATTCTAGCACCAAGGACAGACCCCTTCCGATGGGACACTGCTTGCCACGGTTAAGAACCATCCGAAAGCGTGTCTGAGCATGGTTCTGGATAAAGAAAGGTTCCAGATACACCGCACATACCTCCCATACTCCATCCCCTTCAGTCTCTTCCTGATGTCGGTGAAGTCCGGCCTGTCCTCCGGCAGCTCGGTCCAGCAGTCACATCTCATACGCTACACGACGCCACGGGTACTTTCTATACTTCCTTACTTTTGATAGGCGTGGACTATACCGTGTCTCAATCCAGAACCGTGTCTGTGCACGTTTCTTGATACACAACGTACCTTCCATACTCCATCCCCTTCAGTCTCTTCCTGATGGCGGTGAAGTCGGGCCTGTCCTCCGGCAGCTCGGTCCAGCAGTCCCATCTCATACGCTACACGACGCCACGGGTACTTTCTATACTTCCTTACTCTTGATAGGCGTGGACTACACAGAACCGTGTCTCAATCCAGAACCGTGTCTGTGCATGGGTCTGGATAAAGCAAGGTTCTGGATACACCGCACATACCTCCCATACTCCATCCCCTTGAGTCTCTTCCTGATGGCGGTGAAGTCCGGCCTGTCCTCCGGCAGCTCTGTCCAGCAGTCCCTAATGAGAGACTCCAGCCCGCGCATGCTGGAGAAGTCCTCCCCCGTCTCCGGACGCATCAGGGGCTCCTCCCGCCGGATCACCTTGCGGACGATCTCTGAAGTGCATGAAGAGAAACGGATGCTCTTTTTGTCTCCAGAACCGTGCTTTCGTTACCTTCGAATTCTCCAATAAGGTTAATAATATGTTTTCGGTGGCGTCCGTGTGAGTGTGTGTGTGTGTGTGTGTGTGTGTGTGTGTGTGTGTGTGTCCGTGTGTGTGTTTGTGTTTGTGTCTATGTGAACGTGTTTGCGTGTGTGTCTCTGATATTTGGTACTTACGTGGTTAGGTCTTGATGAGACCTGAAAAGAATTAGATTCACATTTGGGGCCACCTGGCTTCTTGTTATATCAAGCAGCCAGATCAAGCAGCCAAATTTCCGCTGCAGTAACAAACTGACAATTATCTCGTGATCTAGACATGTCACGAATTTTGCGTGGGAGATACCTCTTGTACTAAAACAAATGACATAAGATTGAATCCCTAACGGCTTGTTAGAAAGGTAGGGTTGCCATGTTTACCTCTGGGTGTGAGTTGACTGTCAGTGTACGGGGCTGAGCGGGTGGCGACTTCGTAAGCCACCATGGCGAAAGAGTAGACGTCACCCTTCTGGGACCCTTTCAGCGGGCACTCCCGGCGCAGCAGCTCGGGCGCCACCCAAAACATTCCTGGAAACAACAAAAAATCGGAAACACGTCTCAATGGGTCAATCTGTTGAAGAAGATATATCAGAGTGACTGATCGAAGGTCTAGGTGAGAACATTTCCTTGTGTTGGAAGAAAAGTTTTCTCGAAACATTTAACTACCAACACAGATGAACTTTTATAGTCATATCTCCATATACCAGAGCTATCAAGCAAGGATTTAGGTGTTCAAAAACTCGCATTTTCCAAGAACTATCGTAGAGTGGAACTCGCTGCCGTCAAGTACAGTAGGGGTATCATCAGTATATATCTTGCAGCCTGCAGTTAGACGTGCAATGACTGTGTGTAACAGGTCCGTGTAATTTGGTGTAATATAGCCAGCTGCTGTCGCGCCGCGTGCCTGCAATTTGTGCAAAGCTGGTGTGTTATGCCAAAAGGCAGTTATACCGGCTATACAGATACAGAAGCTGGTGTGCTACGCCGAAGGGTTGTTATACCGGCTACACAGATACAGAAATGTCCTGTCCCTTACGTGTGAACCTGGCGACGTCCTCCGCCTGCCGAGTCTTCTCGCAGCTTGCGGCGCAGCTGATGGAGCCGAAGTCGGTCAGCTTCAGCACCCAGCGGCTGTCGATCACGCAGTTACTGGGCCGGAGGTTACCGTGAGACTTCACCTCGCTGTTGTGCAGGTACAGCATGCCCTGGGGAGGATACAGACCCCTGTGATATTGGTTTGTTTGTTTGTTTGTTTGTTTGTTTTATTCGAACAATGTATACACATAACATAATATAAGAATAAAATGGAAAGGGAAATGGTGTGGGGGAGGGGGTGGAAATCCCAGTAGGCTTATTCTGAGCCCGACTCCTTTAGACGTAATGAATAATACATGATACCAGAATGATTAAAAAAGATAACAAAGATATAACGTAAACAAAGATATTGTAAACTAGTAGGTGCTTTAACAAAACAGTTCACAATGACGAAGAAAAATTAACGAACCGAATCATCTGGCATGCAATTATTAGCGAGTGGTCGTACAAAAACGTCCTACTCGCGGAATACTTCATGTTTATTTTTAACTTTTAGGTTATTCTTTTTGTCTAAACACTTTGTTGACAGTGTAGAATTGGTGCAAAAATACAGGATTTGAAACACACCTTAACCAAGTCGTTCAGAAATGACCACACAAACACGTTATCCAGGTTGATTTCTTCCGTCTCTATGATGTCCTATTGGAAAAAAATCGTCATTATCATACAAACCATAACCTATCGTAAGATTATGATTTTGACTGATTGTTGGAAAGTGTAAGAAACTAGAAACGTAACAATGGCAAAGCAAATACATGATGTTTACCTTCACATGATCTGGCCTAACTGACCTCTGCCCTGTTTATTCTTACTCAAACACATTCACATATATGGTGAACAGCCCCTCCAACTCTGACCTGCCACATGCTACATAATGTAATCCAACACCACGGCATGTCTCTACAGCACCAGTTACCATGGCGACAGCGGTCTGGTCCAGGCCATTGAGACCTTATTTGTTTGGAATTGAGGAATTGCAGAAGATGAAACTCAGCAATGGCAGTTGTATCTTTTCTTTCATCGATTTTTAGTTAAACATAAAAAATGTGAGATTTGCCTCATTGAGACTTTGTTCGCTTGGAACGGAAGAAGATGAAACTGAGCAAAAAACAATTATATCTTTTCCTTCTGCTACTTTATCTAAAAAAATTCTAGATATTTGCCTCTAAGCTGCCTCTTGGGCAGTAGTCGCTGATGATGGTGACGTCACCAGCTCCGTGTGGAGGGAAGCAGATGCCGTGAAGAACGTTCAAGTTCACGTGTTGGAAGCTGCAGATCTGGAAAAGAATAAAAAATGAAATACTAGTAAATAGCTGTATTAAAGGACTCCGTGTCTGAGGCGTTAGCAAAAAGTATTAAAGGCTTCCCAAAGTGTGCCAATGAGTTTAAAATCTAGCCTTTTGACCTCCTTGAGTATACAAAGCATATAAAAGTTTTCCAAATTATCTACGTTCAAAACCACGTTGTTATATTCAATGTATTAGCTGTTTCTCACAGAATTTTGTCATATTGTGCCATCTTTTTAAATCCAGGTTTTGCTTACTTATGCTTATGCTTATGCTTACTTATACTTATTTTGTATACGTCTCTGATGGTGGCGTCAATATAAGTTTTGCAAACTTGAGCTCACCACTATGCCTACCTTTGCCTCTTTCAATCACTTTTTTCTCTTTATTTGATAAAAGAAGTATCTTCCTTGTGTTTCAAACGCACCTGTCCCAGCTCCCGTTTGACGGTTGAAGTGATGGCGAAGTCTCCCAGGGAAACCTTCTTCACGGCGACCGGCCGGCCGCTGTACGTACCGACAGACGGCACGAACTTGTGTCTCGTTCCCAGGTTCAGCAGTGACGTATGACTCGCCCCTGTGAACGAGCTGAGGAGGGACTGGTGTTTGCCGGAACCGGCCCCGCCCGCGGGAGAACCGAACCTCAACTAGACAAATGAGAAAGTTAAAACTGTTTAAAGTTAAAACTTTTGATCTAACACAAAGAATGGTTCTCACCTAGAGCTTTCTGTATCTGTATCGGTATAGCGGCATAGCCGGTACTGCCGCCCTTCGGCGTATCACATTTCGCAGGCACGTGACATGGCAGCAGCTAGCGAATCGAACAAATTTGTTACACTCAATCTTTGCACATTTAATTGCAGGAGTTGTTTAAAGCTTTCTAGAGATATTGCCTCAACTGTGCATGGAGGCAACGAGTTCCACTCTACATGATAGTTCTTGGACCAGACATTCTGGTCTTCTTCAGTAGACTGACCCAGTGAGGAAATTCGTGTTAAGTGCCTTTCCCACGAGCACAAGATCGGTGGCATGGCAGGACTTGAACTCAAGACTTGGTTCCGGGCCGAATGCTCTGTCGTCCGCCACACGACCCCACAATAAGACAATACTTCCTTACCCGGAGGTAATAACTAAGTAGTGAGGACCTGTACCTACCCCGGGTAAGACAGCCCTGGATCTGTCTGCAAACTTCACGTCCTCCAGACTGACTTTCCAACCGTTTCTTCCTTTGTTTCTCCTCGGAGCCGCGGAACCAAAAAGTCCATCGTTCCTGGACAAAGAAATGATTAATGATGGGTCTGTGACTTTTTGGTTGAGAAAAGATCGTGTTATTCAGTATTATAACAAATACATTAGGCTAAGTTAACAAAATTGGATTTTGTTAGCATCTCAGACGTTTGGAAAAGGAAAATTTTATCCTGTATATCCTATTGCCAATATAAAGGACAAGGAAAACCTGTAGACACTTGGAATACGTTCCCTTGTTGAAAGAATTTCTCGTTGAGAAAATTTGCCTGTAACTGTTGAAAACTCACTTCAGATGCAACCCAGTCAACGACAGGAGACCCACAAGGACGACTGCAGCCACAGCAACGCCTATAATCATCGGCAAATCTGAAAAAAAGAACGTGAACGCAATCCTCTTGGATTGTATTACATGTACATGTTCACTTTTGCATTCGTTGAGTAGAGCAAAAATTGTGACCATTTTGATAGTGAACTTTTAAAGTAAGGAGAGAATTTCGTCGTCAAAATGACTTCATCATTCAATATGGACAAGTTAGTAATAGTTCTTGACTAGTTGGGACACCCTGGCTTCTTTGTAAGCCAAATGAACAAATAAATAAATGAATATGGACAAGTTCAAAGCTCCGACAAATTTAAAGTTGGTGACTCAATTGTAGTAAATTTGAAAACATTTCATTGATAATAGAACATGTCTTTGAAAAAGATGACACTATTGCAGTGCTGATTTTCATTGGAAATATTGGTCATATTCATTGCAAATATTGGTCAGCGTGGTGGTCACAAAAAGGGAATTGTTTCTGTACCCGACGACTTGTTTTCCGTGCAGGTCGGCCCCAGACAGGGGCAGTTTTCCGCGCAGTACCGGAAGGACAGGCAGTTCTCCGACTCCGAACAGGGCGTCACGCCGGGGATGAACACCAGGGAACTGTTGAGGTTGGAGAAGCCCACGGTCGGGACAAATCTACCGTTCTGGGGAAAAGGAAGAAGAAAAAAATACTTACTTAACAATGAAAAATTGTTGGGAAATGAAAATGGACACAAGCACGCGCGCGCACACACACACACACACACACACACACACACACACACACACACACACACACACACAAATACAGTACTGGAAAGTTTTAAAATGCACAAGGAGTATGAGCCAAATGTAGAGGGTGCGGAAAAATATCGGCTCCGCTCCTAAGGCGTCGTCAAAATATTTACAGCACTGTATGGTGTGAACAATTATCTTTAACGACGTTGCCACGCTTTTGGTTAAACTAAAAGTACTTAAAAAGAAGAAACGTTGATAACAGAACATTTCTTTTAAAAATGAAATATTGAAAACATTGAAAATAGATAATAGAAACGTAGTATTTCTGCTTTACTTATATCGTACCTGGAAACTGTAGAGAATAAATTCTTGTACCCTGCCACCCTGTCTGTCAAACTGAAGTTTGCCGGTCAGACCTGCACAACATGAAAGAGTTATTGATATTTCAAATATTCAAATATCTAACGAGTATAACATCCACATTTAACCACAGGAAGCAGGTTGAATAGTATACAGAATACACGGTATGCAGCTTTTCAATTCAACTCGGTGTAGTGCCACAAAGTCAACACCTTTTTAGCTACAGAGAATTTTTATGTTACATAAAGATTACCTTTGTGTAACGCGTATCAAAAACCTCTTTGTTACTCCGTTCCAACGTAACTTTTAAATCGTACTGGAAGATAAAAACGCTGTTTGCTGTTACTCCGGCGCCCCTCTATAGCTCCATGTTTTCCCTGTAGTTAGTGAGTGGGATATGATTACCGGCAAGTGCGGCGGTTCCCACGTTGTGAAGTGCCGGTGGCTCGGCAGTTGTGTTGGCGGTATTTGCGGCGAGAAGGACCGAGTCGTACACGTACGCGGCCATAGGCCACGGTCCTCCGGCCGACACGAAGTCTTTTAGTAAAGTACTGCTTTGCTGGACTCTGTATGAATAATGTGAAATCGTATAGAGACTTTAGTGATCGGTTTCTAGAAAAAGAAAGGCCTTAATGCAGCTGTAGTTCAGGTGAACTTTTTTTCAAATTTTGAGCCATGGCTGTACTTTTAAACATTTTCTTGCCAAATTCCAAAAACGGGGGATTTGAAACCACAAAAATGACTCAAATAGATAAATATGCATCAACCATCCACATATTCATGACAGGATATGTAAGATGAGATGGATCTCCACGTACAGTACGTCAGACTACATGTTCAGCACCAAGGACAGGGTCAGTACTTGGGTGTAAGTAGAAGCAGGGCTTATCCTCCTGTAGCACACCCACAGCCTTTGAAAGTTAGCAAACTACACTTTCAGTACCAAGGACAGGGTCAGACAATATCACGAAACTTTTAGAAAAGAATCTAGATTATTACTACATTGAAAAGCCAACAGCAGTACCTCGGTGCAAGTAGAAGTAGGGCTTTGCTAGCCTCCTGTAGCACCCAACCGATTAACGCCTGTACAAGTTAGTAGGTAGTCTAATGGATAGATCAGATATGGATATCCACGTAAACAGTGCGTCAAACTATATTTTCAGCACCAAGGACAGGGTCTTACTACGTTTAAAAGCCCACAGCCCACAGGAGCAGAGCTTTGTTAGCCTCATGTAGCACCCTGCCGACTAACGTCTGTGCAAGTTAGCAAACTACACTTTCAGCACCAAGGACAGGGTCTTACTATACGTTGAAAAGTTAACAGTACCTCGGTGCCAGAAGCAGCAGGGCTTTGTTAGCCTCCTGTAGCACCCCGCCGACTAACGCCTGTGCCAGGTCCGGCGGGTTCCACCCCGCGCCCCACAGGACAGGTACCGGGGAGAGGTCGACGTTGATGAAGACAGTCTTGGTCGTCATGCCCAGCTGGTAGGCCGCTATCATAAGCGTGTGCTCGTCTTCAGCACCCATGGACGCTCTCGGGACGGCGAAGATGATAACTGTGTAAAGGTAAAACGTTTTTGTTTCATCGCAACACGAAAGGGAAATGTTCTCACCTAGAGCTTTCCAACAGTCACTCTGGTTTTCCTCAGTAGACTGACCCAGCGAGACAAGTACCTACCAACACAGAAGAACTTTCTTGATAGAAAATAATAATGATTTTGAAATAGGAACATATCTTGGACGCATCTTGGGCCAAAGACTTTTAAAATGGTACATACTACTGCTTTCTCTGCTTAGCACTCAGTATTTTTCAGGAGAATGGGAAAGTCAGACACACAACACTACCAACGGGCTAGCCCCCTGCTGTAGTGCTTGCACTTGGTATATTATGCCGAAGGTTATACCAGCTATACTGATACAGATAAAACTGTGTGACCCAAGGGCTACAGAAATGGAGATGGGCAAATTTAATAGCAGAAATAGTCGTAGTTATCAACTTTAGATACGGATATGATACGCAAAACAACTTTATACACCTGGAACATCCTATAGTCAAAGGGTACGATATTACATAAAGGTAAAACTTACCTTTTGGTGCCTCTTTCTGACTTAGCAGATTCGTCGCAACTTCAAGTCCTAAAGCGCCTGTGTACTTCAGGATCTTTGACGCCGTAGTGACGTCATCCAACGTTTCTTTCATGATCTTTCCCAACGTTATCCACGGCTCTTCGCCTTTTGTGATCAGGAGTACATCCGACCATTTGTAGTACTCTGTCAGAGTCTTTACACGCTCGGCGATGGCCCCGGGCGGTTCCATGATGGCGAAGAAGTCATGACCGTGTTCGGAGAGGTCCCCGAAGCAGGCGGGCACGACGGTGGAAACGTTGTAGTAGTCGCCGAGCGCGGAGAGTGCGGAGCACCCTACCGCGCAAGGGGGACCGACGACAACGTCCACGCGAACGTTCGACATCAAGTCCACGGCGTGTCCCAAGATCTCGCCCGTCTTGCACGACGTAACCGCGTCCACACGGTGGAGAGTTAAGTTGGAAACGTGTTTAGAGTTGTTCGCGATGTGGGCAAGAGCAAAGTCGACCGCTCTGTCCGGCCTCGGGCCCCAGAACGGTAACATTTCGTCGGGAAAAGGCATCATAACACCTATCTTCACAACATTCGCCAAAGAAACGTACAGGAACGCTTGTGTCAAGACCAGAAAACATCGCCATACTGTTGTTGACGTCCCCATCTCGCCCTGGCCATGTTAAAGTGAGGTGTTTCCCACCTGCACTACTCCAAATGGCCCTTCTAACTAGGCGTTAAAGCCATACCTCTGATGGCTTTTTAATGTTGTTTGCGATCCGGTAAAGTTTACTCAGGCTACCGGCAAAGTAGTTTTAGATGCCATTATTCACCTGGCGTTCTTCTGTAGTCAGAGCGACAGCACTAGGAAATAAGAGTCATAAACGTGCATTGTTACCAAGTCCCTTTTTATTAAGGTTAACTTATAAAGCGGCCTTGAAATAAATAGGCATGTACAAAGTTCATGGTAGGGGTAAGTATTACATATACTAAATCAGATATGTTATATTTCAATTCATATGGCTGACATGTTTGGCACTGTTTCAGTTAACATACTTATAACCAATTTGAGAAAAAAAGTTGCTTGTCTGTGACAAGAAAAAACGTCAAAACAAAACTTCAACAGCTGCATTGTATAAACGTTAAGGCCATAACAAAAGTTAAGGGTATTTTTGAGTGTGAAAATGTTAGATTCCATATGATAAACATAACTCATTGAGAAATATGTTGTCGATACAACTGGAAATTCAGTTGTCTACTGGTAAAACTAGGCAACAGCTTCAACAAAAATGATTAGGTTATAGTGTAGCTGTTTCTTCCTTTGATAAATGAGATACATTAAACCTAATATATTAGCTATACCAAATTCAAAAAATTGTAATAGTTCAAGGTTAGTAAGATGCTGTAGTCTATGTGAAGAAAATGTCTTGTTTTTACGACTGTTTCCACATTCTGTTGAGGCCTACAATACAATAACGACTACTTGGACTATTTCAAATCATAGTATTTTTGCAATTCATTTTTCGACCCATATTGAGTATATCCAGCTCCAGTATCATAAATAAAACTGTGGCTTTACAGTATTTCTTTAACCCAATGTCTTTAGTTATTATCTATTTCTGAGTACGTCGGCAGAACATACTGCACCTGTGCGAAACCCGTAGTGTACTATACATAGCACTTTGGCAGAACGTCTCATATAAGGTTATATTTGCACATATAAGGTTAACATCCCGTCTTGTAGTTTAAGTCTGAAAAGATGTCTTCTAGCTCTATCTGCATCTGGCAAACTGATTCTGATGCAATGTTGACCAAAAGTCAGATGAAAACCTTGAAAAAGCATGCGTACGCACAGTACTGACATACTCTTCTACTGTGACTCCGTCTCCTTTGAGGACACCTGTGACCATCGCTGGTTCTGACTGTCCTGACTCCAGCCGTCCAATGACATGGCATCCGTCTCCATGGCAACGGAACCCACCACTCCATCCGTAGGCATGGCAACGAGGTCCTCTGCCTCCTCCAGCAGGCTTTCAGCCTTCTCGGAAATCAGCACCTGAAACATAGGTACAGCATTTTGTGGATAAACAATTATGTAGGAGGTTGATGCTCTGCTTTACACTGTAAGTTTTGACCCACTCACACTTGGAAAGACCGTGCTCTTTTAGATAAGTGTGGTGGGTTCTTTAACATGATTAAAGTGTGGCTGTCCTAAAATGCAGGACCTTTGGCTTCACACCCCATCCTAGGGGACATCCCTAACCAAAGCCAGGCACTCATTTTCACCCGAGTGAGACAATAGGTGTAAAGTAACCTTTCCTACAGGCTCAACATCAGGGCCTGCTAGGGATTTGAACCCAGAACCACTAGCTTTGAACATCAAGCACCGTAAACACCTTGCCACCCCTGTTGCTTCACATAGACTCTACAGCATTGCACCTGTGTGAACATAGATTCCCTCCCACCAAGCCCTACCTTAGCAGCAGCTATGATCTGGTAGGCCACCTTCCTGGGCATGTGCTGAATGGTCTGTACCAGAGTCTCTGCCTCGGCATGAGCCAGGTCCTGTATGGTCTTGTACCCGGCCGAGTACAGCTGTCTCGCTCGACCCTGTTGTAATGTCGGAAAAAAGTTAAGGGCTGCTCATGTATGTTGTGTGGTTGTCTGACGATCGTAAACTAAATATAGGATGGTTGTGCATGTGTCCTGCAAAATTTAGCTTGTTACGGAAAAGACTGTCTTAGGAATCTCCAAGCAGATTCTGTGGGGAAAGGAGAGTCTATATTTGCAGCCTGTAATCACTTTGCAGATACACATGTACTTGAAAATAGCCAAAAACGTGTCAGTGTGATTAGGTTTAAAAGCAGATTTGTGGGGTGGCCAATGGTTACAAGTGGCCACTGGTTACAGTCAGCCAATGTATCTACTCCCCTTGCCCCACAGAATCTGCTTGGAGATTAAGTCTTATATTCTTTTTGGCAGTTGGTTTTGTCAAAGCCTGCTCAAATATCCACCAACATCAAAATCGTACAACTGTGAGGAAGTCAACATAAGTCTTATAAGTCAACAGCATAAAGTTAGAAATCTACATGAAGAGATTTAAGACACACGGAGACATGTACAGACCTGTTTGACACCAGACACCTCCATGAGAGGGATGAGTTCACTGGTGACGCAGTATGACAGACTCTTCACCAGGGAGTCAAGGAGGACCCTCAATGGCCACATCTCCTCCAGAGCCTGTTGGAAAAAACAACAAAGAAATCAGAAAAACCAAATACCTTTGAGCCAGTGTTGACATCACACTTTAAAGAAGCCACGTGACAAGCCTCACTGGGTCAGTCTACTGAGGAAGACCAGAGTGACTGGTCGAAAGCTCTAGGTGACAGAACTTTTTTGTGTTGGATCTAAAGTTTAACTCTAAACAAGAAATCAGAGATTTCAGTCTTTTTGGTTTTTGTTGCCTTAAAGTATCTGTCATGTATTTGTGTCTCCTTTAAAAAATGTTAAGAAAGAATAGCTTTGTAGACAAATGTGTACAAAGCTAATGGAGAAATAAAATATCAAAGTTTCCAAGTTCACACAATTTTCTAATTTCACTCTTTCTTTTTGTGTCAACCATCACGTCAACTACTAAATACAGCAACACTGTTTAATGTTACTTGTACATATTGTATAATAATCATGTAGGTTTTACTGTAGTTAAATTTTTACTGTGAAGCTTGGTACAATTCAGCTGTGGCTGCAAGGCCAATCTACTGTGTTTTAACAATAAACCAGTCACTCACTACTACTACTACTTTCCCCTCTCTCACCTCGCAGAAGTGCAGCACGCAAGCACAGAAGCTGGCTGCGCTGGACAGCAGGTTCTGGAGAAAGCCCCTGGGCACGTCAAACTTCTCGGAGACGTCCCAGATGTTATGCTGCTTCATCAGACTGTAGATCATCAGGGTCAGGTAGAAACGGTTCACCACTGCCTCTTCTACTGATGTCTGGCAGGAGAGAAGTATATGGGGAGGTTGTTATAGAGTACAGTAGAGTAGAAGCTTCAGTCAGGTAGGACATTTGTCCAGTTTTGCTCTTTTTCTCATTCAGTCCATAGCATGGTGGGTTCGCGTGGATGTTCCAGAATCCTGTAGTTGTAATTAACTGGGTGGCTCTCCATGTGTCTGTCAAATATAGCTCCTGATTTTTCGTCACAAGTTCATGTGAAGGGCTTGAAAAACTAGGTATGTCGATGAAGGTTAGACATACAGGTAATGAGATACACAAGGAAAATGCTACTCAATTAACTGGTTAGATTTTGAAAATTGTCAGACATTTCAAGTAGTCAGTGTCACTGATGAAAAGTAGTGGGTGCTACATTATGGTGTTACTTGAAATGTTTGACTGTTTTCAAAACCTATCCAGTTGCTTGAGTAACATTTTCCTTGCAAATCTAGGTACAAGGTACTAGTACTTGATCCTTTTCACCTCAGTCTAGTGAGTAAATAGATGAACGCTCCATCTACGTGGACACCCACCTGTCTGGCTCTCTGTCCCGAGGCCTTCCTGGCGATGAAGCCCTCAGGAACACCGATTATCCCTGCAGCCTTCAGCTCTATGGGCTTCAACTGGCTCAGCTGTTTTAGAGAAAACAAAATGATCATGAAATTTCATCAAGATGATCCTTGATACATTCATGAAGGTTACACATCCAGGTAATTATAAACAACATTCAAAGACAAACCAAACTCTACTACTGGATAAATTATGGAGATACTTCTGACATCTGTCACTCTTCTTCAGCATCACTAAAATGAACTGAGAGAACAAGTCAACGTATTTCCTATGTCTGGCTTTTTGACTTCCTGTCCCCACAAATGTATATGTGCTGTCAACCTACATTTGTACTTTAATTTGTCCAAACAGGCAGACACACAAGATCAGCCACCCAAAACAATACATCCATACTATAAGAAGTAACAAAGACAAGACAAAAACATAACAGCTTAACCAATCAGTCAGTGTTTACTGATTCATACCTGTCTGAAGTATATCATCCAGTTCGGTCTCACAGTGTCCACCATGTCATACGGAGTGACCAGGTACAGCAGGTGCAGACTGTTCTCCACTACCAGGGCCTCCTGAGCCTTACACAGGTCCTGGTACAGCTGGCTACTGTACTTAATGTCAATGGGACCTTGAGGAAAATATCACAGAAGTGCATTGAAGAAGGTTAGACATCCTGGTAATGAGATACACGAGGAAACAGTTGCTTGACATAGTTGGGAAAAATCTATCCAGTTGCTTGAGTGACTGTTTTCTCATGTACAACACAGAAATGGAAAACATAATATGGTGCAGTCCAATTCATGGCACAGGCCGTCATACGATGTTGTTGTCATAGAATTTCCATGCAGGCTGTTACAGGATCAGCTGCCAACAAGGATCCAAGGCACAGAATTTGTGCAAAATTATTTTCGGCTCAGAATAATACAGGGTTTTGAAGGGTGCCTTGAAAGGATGTACAAAAAGTACACAAAACAAATGCTCAGATTCTCGAAGACTTAGTCTAAATGTTTGTATTCTGTAGGAATGTAACTTACTGGCCAACTTACATAGAAAATTTTAGGTTGACACAAACCTTTGAAAGAAGCCTGTCCCAGTCTGGTCACTTCCAGCAGTGTGTCCACATCTCCTGTTTTCTCTGTGACTAATCCCACTTCTACCAAGTGCTGTACATTGTGTGGAAAGAAAATGCAATAGAATACGCGCTATAAGACAAGAAATCAGACTTCTGTCTATCAATCTTTCCCCCACCCATGTCCTGTCAACCTTTTCTTTCTGGACAGACACAAACCCACAGTCACCCAAAACAATATTTCCTTCCCCAGATGTAAACAGGCTTCCAATATGGAAACATATTTTAAAGTACAAACCTACAAACATAAGTTTCAATGGTATCTTGGAATTCAAGCTACCACAATTTTTTCATCTCAACAATTACTTACCCACACATACAGACACGTGCATATTGCTATCACCCCAAGATTTGATCCACACACATGCAGTGCATTCTGGGTAAATTCAGGAAAGATCTGACCCACCTGCAGTGCGTTCTGGGTAAATTCCAGGAAGTTCTGGTCCTGCTGAGAGTCACACTGCACGCTGAAGAGGGTGTGGCTCAGGAAGGTTGACATGGTCTCCTTACTGGTGGCAATCTGCGGTCAATGAAATATATGTTGTGAAAAAGGGGATAGTGAAGTGATACTGGTAGAAGCTGATTGAAGGCAATGTAACAAAGTCTTCACCAGTTCACCCTTAAAAGATTCTGTATCTGTATAGCCGGTATAACCGCCCTTCGGTGTAACACACAAGTTAACGCACCAGTACATCAGATTGTCATGTCCTACATTGAAGTATAACTACAATATAAAACTGCCACAGACTGAATCAACGTAAAGTAATCAGTGGCTATAAAAAGGTTTACATGGCTCAAATTGAGGAATGTGCATTGAATGTCATTGAGTGAATTGAGGAATTACTAGTACTTCTTTTGAAGAACATATGTGTATACAGAAATATGAATTATGAGATTTTATTAAGATATACCTTCAGACCAATGAGGTTTAAGATGAGTGTTCTCAGCCCTTTGCCATCATCATACATCAGACTGCTGCGACAACTCTCAAATGGTCTCCCTATCAGCTCAGCCATCTTATAAAATAGAAGAAACAAAATAAAACATTAAACAAGAAATCAGAGGTTTCAGACTTCTGGGAAGCGTTTTGAGTTTTCGTAAATGTATTGGAAGTGTGTACTGTATGGAATTGAATAATGTAACACCCCTCACCCTATTTATGCAACCATCATCACTGAGCACCCAACCAACCAAACACACAAACTCAAACTATTGCCACTCAAAACAATACTTCCTTTCCCCGGAGTATGTAATCAAGTTCCAAGTTATACAAAATGTGTCAAGTAAATGATTATAGAAGAGGGGGAATCTTACAATAAGTCCATGTATAAAATGGCATCAGATGCATATAAAACAAGAATGATTTGTAATAAAAGAAAATTACATTACAATACATTTTTGGCAACACCACAGGAGTAACCCCTTACCTTAGCCTTGTCCTGCGGCTTGACGATGGTGACGCTCTCGCCCGAGGAGTCGATGCCTGCCCGGCCGGCCCGACCCACCATCTGCTTATACTGCGCTCTGCTGATGAAGTCTGCTCCCACAAAGGGTGCTCTCAGGATTACTCTGTGATCGTGGGATGATACATGATAACTTCAACTTGCAGTATTGGAGAAGGAATGAAGCTTAGTATTCTTAATCATTATATATACCTGTCTGGCCTCATAAAGTCTGCATCTATAAGTCAATTTTTGCTTTTATCTAAAATACTGTAGATCTTGGAACTTTCGCAGAGGTTTTATTTCACGGTGGCCGTCGGTGGGAGGTATAAAAGGAGTATTACAGAGTGCTTTAAATTTGTTATTTTCAAAGCATTTGGAAGCCCATGTGATAACCAAACAGAACCCCACGCTACACATTTAGTTATCACATGGGCCGGAACAACCGTGTCAAATGTTATCACGACTCAGGGCATAAGATACAGTATTTACAGTTTTTATCTTTATATTTACAGTATTTACAGTTACCTTTTTGCAGGCAGGTTGACGCCGGCGGCGAGCGTGGATGTACAGGCCAGCAGACACAGCACGCCTTCTGAGTACGCCTCCTCAATCAGTCTCCGCTCATCCATGGTCAGTCCACTGTGGTGGTATGCCAGTCCAAACGGCACTGTGTACTTCAGCACTGGACACACCGTACCACTGCCGTCTGATTCTAAGGCCTTCAGGAGGGCTTTCTTCTCTGGGACTTTGTGTCCTCTCAGTTTTCTGGGGAAAGAAAAGGAAAATGATCTCAATCCAGTTATAGCTCAACATGCTGTGGTGGTATGCCAGGCCAAACGGGACCGTGTACTTCAGTACAGGACAGACCGTACCGCTGCTGTCTGACTCTAGGGCTTTCAGGAGGGCTTTCTTCTCTGGGACTTTGTGTCCTCTCAGTTTTCTGGGGAAAGAAAAGGAAAATGATCATGATCCAGTTTTAGCTTGTCTATGGTCAGCCCGCTGTGGTGATACGACAGGCCGAATGGCACAGTGTAGTTCAGCACTGGACACACTGTGCCGCTGCCATCTGACTCTAGCGCTTTTAGGAGAGCTTTCTTCTCTGGCACTTTGTGTCCTCTCAGTTTTCTGGGGCAAATTATTGTATCATTTTCATTGATAATCAAAAATATAAAGTGCATCTTTTGTTGAGATAGAAGGATGCCTACTACCTACACATGTACTACCTTATGTGCAAGAGTTCTGGAGAAAGAAAAGGAAATTGATCTCAATGTAGTTTTAGCTCACAGAAGAGCTAATCTCCCACTAGTCGTGACAAAGGAAAAAGACACTACTTGGTATGTACAGTATTCACAGGTTCATTGTATGGAGAAATTCTCCTACCCATAGCTTTTTTGGTCAAGCATTATGAACAGAGGACCAAAACTTAACATCTTGTCCTAGGGATCTGCGACGATTCCAAGTAGTAGTGTGCATGTCGGGTTAGCAACATTAGCCTGGATTGGAACTCCCAACCCCTTGGTCCAGTGTCAAGGCTGTTCACCACTTTCACTAAACACACTATACTACGTAAGACTATAGAAGTATTCCCCTGTACCTTGGCAGTAGCTTGCACAGCATGTCCACCACGTTCTGACAGTTCTTCTTGGTAGGACAGAACACAAGACAGGAATGGGCGGGGATCACGTCCATCACCATGCCGACCAGGTGATCTGGGTCACGCGACTGCATCTCTCTGGGGTACTGAGGGAAGATGACAAGTGTCTATGTCAGTCATATCTACCAACCTGTTGGCAGAACGTACTTTGCCTGTACGAAACCTGTAATGTATTGTGCATAGCACTTTGGCAGAACATTTCTTTTATACAACGCTGTCTATATAAGTTCTCAAATTATGTGTAATGGAAAAGATATCGTCTGCAATAGGCAAATTGCAGATGCATTGCTGACCAAATATCCAACAAAAACGATGAAAAATCTGAGTGTCCTACAGGCACAGTATGTTTTTGTTAAAGGTAATTACAATATTTAGCAGATCTAAAAAAAACATTACATCTATATCCTAATTACATTACAAACTATAATGTTTTAGGAAAATGACTTACCTTGTAGCTGACCATTCTTGAGAACTGAATTTGTTCATCAGGACACGCCGCCTTCGAATTCACCTCAAAAATACTGTCTGCAATCTTCACATACTCTTTCAACTGTACCTAGAATTAACAAAGAATAGAATACTGTTCTGATGCAAGTCATCACGTAAATGACTGTAACGTAAATTGTTATGTTTGGCATGTTCTTCAATGTTTGCTTTCCTTGAATTAAAAATTGATATTTCATTTAAGAATACTATAAACTTGAAAGTTTTGAATCTGTTACAGAAATTTTCAACTTAAGTACATGTATCACATACTATGAGGAAACTCTAGTAGACCACATTTCAACATATATATTATAAGTATATAACATTGAAGTCCTTACAGGTCTGAAGTTGTTGGAGTACACCTCAGCTGACAGGAACGTCTGCAGTTCCTGGATGTTGTTCAAGGTGGCGCTCATGCCTATGATCTGTGTAGATTCTGGAAAAATACAACATTTAATGCTTCATAATCCAACTTTTTTGATCCATGTATTTCTTTACAATGATTCAATTTTCAGAATTATGACATTCTTTACCTTCTATTACTGCAGCATATATATGAAATAAAAATGTATGAGGTCCTATTAAATCACAATAGCTGTACCTGGCAGATACAAATACATGAACACGTACTAGTAGTACCGTTATTGAACTAGGTACCATCATATGCGAAGGTACTGGTATGAATACAAGGACATTAATGAAATAGGCACGGTGATCACTTATAGGGAATGGTGCATGTATATGACATACTACCATCTCCTTGCTGCCTAACCTACAAGCAGGGAATGTATTTGATCCTATAAGTTTGGGAAGGAGCAAAACTTACTGCAGATGTAGAGCACCTTTGCCAGGCACATTTCCAGAGTGGCACCTCTACTGCCCCCCTCCCCAAGCATGTGGAGCTGGGAAGTATGGACAAAAAGGTTACAAGTTACAACATGTTGAGTGTGAATTGTTTAATGCTCTATAAATAAAGTATAATGGCTAAAATTAATCCCTCACCGCTTTTTGTTGCCTTGTGATTTCTAGAAGTGTCTTCTCTATATGTGATTTAACATGGACCATTGTAAGAACTTAGTTTAACAAGTACAAATGTATATGCATTTTGGCACTGCATTGTGTGTATTGGCAATCATGAAAAACAGACTTAAAGCCAAAAACAATAATAATTTCAAGGATAGATAACTTGCAGAAGGAGAAAACTACACATGTACTGATGTTGTTAGAAAACATGATGACTAGGGGTCTCTGTCCTTGGTGCTGAATGCCTTCACTTAACAACAGTTACGTTTTGAGGCTGCATGGGCAGTGGGTAAATAATACTTCTCTACATTGAATTTAAGAGCCTAAAAGATGTACAGAATTTGAATATACCTGTACATATCCTCTTCAGAATCTTCACTAACCTCATCCACTACCACCAGGCCGATCTCCTGTAGTCTCCCCAGCTCCACGAGTGAGTTGACCAGGGAGTTGGCCTTCTCGATGGTGGCGACGTACAGCGCGCGTTTGTGCCGACGCTTTCTCGGCGGGAACCCTCCCCGACTCCCGGCGTACTCCTCGACTACGAAGTCCAGGTCGGCGGCGAAGGGAGCGATCGTGCGTACCTGTATGTACCAGGTATTCAACAAACATTACAACCATTAACGTGTAGGTTTGTATATATAGGATATATGCATGGTAACTATAGTTAGTTCTATAATTATACTAAATTGAACTGGCCTTTGACAATTGTCCACCTTTCAGCAAGGTACAAATGTAGTTTATGATAGCTGCATTGCAAGCATTCACAAACAACTACATAACATTCAGCTCAATACATATTGAAATGTACATATATATGTATGTACATACTGAGGCAGCTTACAAAGGAACTAATTTATAAGTGTAAGAACCTTTTATGACTAAACTTCAAGTTAAAATACATTAACTTGAATTTGCATAAAAAATTGGATCTAATAGTATAAGGAACAAATGAACAACTTGCAACCTAGCAAGCTACTAAAGGAACAGCATACCAAATTGCAGAAAATAGAAAGAGCATTTTTGAGCTGTAAACTAGTAGTATGAACTATGAAGGGATACTAAATGTGTGTATTCTTGCCTTTTCCTGCACAATAGACACAAATGGTAGAACCAGCAGGGTGTCCCTCTTCCTACAGAGGATCTCCTTCATGATGAGTATCTCGGCCACCAGGGTCTTCCCTCCGCTGGTCGGCAGGGAGTAGATCAGGTTACCTCTCCTCTGGACGGTGTCTAACGTCAGACACTCGTGCTGCCAGTCTGAGTTGGGGAGACAGTTAAACAGTTAAGTTACATGTAGTTAACCAGGGTTTTCCCTCCGCTGGTCAGCAGGGAGTAGGTCAGGTTTCCTCGCTTCTGGACCGTGTCTAACGTCAGACACTCGTGCTGCCAGTCTGAGTTGGGGAGACAGTTAAACAGTTAAGTTACATGTAGTTAACCAGGGTCTTCCCCCCGCTGGTGGGGAGGGAGTAGATCAGGTTTCCTCGCTTCTGGACGGTGTCTAACGTCAGACACTCGTGCTGCCAGTCTGAGTTGGGGAGACAGTACAACATAACTAAAATTCATCTGACAGTTTTCATCATACAAAGTACAGCAACTATATCTGCTTGTTACATGTAGTTTTACTTCCAGGTACTACATACACACATACACACACACACACACACACAAACACTGTGACACACACAGTATTAATACTGTTTGGGTGGTTAAGCTGGGGGTTTGACAGATCACAGATCAGAGCAGGTTGACAACATGGATGTGGGTGTTGGGAAGATTGACAGGCAGAATGACAGGTCAAGAGGTCAGACACAGGAAATGGGGTAAACTTGAACTAGTCACTGCCAGTTTAATAGACTGCAAAGGATGACTCCTGAAAGTAACTTCATTAAGAAACCAAGCACAGCTTTAATCAGTAGTCCCAACTCACTTGAGTAACAAATTTTAAGATGGAGGATAGAAAAGGCCTGAACCCTTTCTTAAACTCACCATACAGTTTCCCAATTCCTCGATGTTGAACAAGTAACTCCTTGACTCTGGAAGGCAGGCCATAGAACGGGCCGACATCGTACTCTGAAGTCTTCTCGTAGGTTTCCATGGCAGCGCTTATCACCTTGGTGACCGACTCGTCTCTCATCTGCTTGGTTTTTGTGGCTTGAGGTGTGGTGTTCTTGATGTTGGTTTGAAGTGCCTGTTTAATTCTATCTCTTAAGGACCCCCTTGGTTTCGGCGTGGACACTGTTGACTTGATCGCTGCAACAGTTTGGTGCTTCATTAAATCATCAACCGGACAACTCTCTTGAACGTTTTCTGGTTTCGCCACCTTTGTGGGTACAGCCTTTGCCTTCTCCCTAGCTGTGTCCAGTGTGTTAGCAGATTTTGCACCACCTTCTTTCTGCTCAAACGATGTGCCAACACGGATTGGCTGATGTCCTTGTCTACTGGTATGAAGTTCATTTCCAGAAATTGCTTTTGCGTTTGATTTGCAAGATGGTTTAAGATTGCCTTTACTACTACCCTCTGTACTGTGTTTAGATTCATGTACTAGTAGGTGGTCAGTTGCCGCTTTAGCTTTACCATTAGTCCTTCTGGGTCCATCAGACGATGTCTGCTCTTCCTGTACTGTTGTCTTCCCACTTCTGCCATGTTTTTCATTAGATGATTTCACTGCTACAGTTGCATGGATGACATCATCTCCTGTAGAAGTGGATTCTCTCATCTGATTGGCTGATTCTGATTCCTAGAAAGGGAAGATATTCAATGAAATCATGAAGTACAAGGAAAGGTATTATTGCCCTCTAGTTTTTACTTTAAGTTTATTTTACCAGATGTTTTCTCCAGTATTTATACATATATCTATACCAAATAATTGACTTGAAGATATACTTCGATGACTTCATACAATTTTTGTTGTTGTTTCTGAAATTAAAAGGAATATAACTACATATTTTTGTTACTGAAAACAATGGTGAATACTGTCACAGTAATACTAAATACCCTAATACAATTGATATTAAAATATTACTAACCTGTAGATTGCTGAGGTTCATCTGTGCGAAGAGAGTGTCACTAGAGTTGAAGCTGTCCTGAGGGTCTACACTGGTACAGTCCTCATCCTGGAACAACATTTCAGGCGTCCCAGGGCACTCCTGTGGTTTTAATAAAGAGATTTTGCAAAGAATAGAATTTGTGAGAAATTAGTAAAATTCTTGGGGTGGTATCCTCTGATCAATGGAAAATGGCAACACCACAAATATGAATTTAATTCATAATTCTATTGCACTATGATTATCAAGACCTCCATTTCCCTCATTCTGCAAAATAAAATCTAAAATGCAAAACATAAAATATTTTGCAGTTACAGTTACTGTAGTATTACTAGTATAGTTAAATGCATTTTTTTTACCTGAATGGAAGGTCCAGGTGTAGAACTTGCACAAGGAAGAGGCCTCTTCTTCATGGACATGTCCTGTGGTCTTTTCACCTCTCTTTGATTCGAAGTATTCTTCCCAGATTTAGTCCCATCTTGGTGCATCTGGTTCCCTTTAAACAAAGGTCTTCTTGAACGCTGAGTAGTATTTGTCACAAGTCTTTTATTCCTGGGTGTTTCCTCATTACTAGTAGATGAAAATGATGGCGATGTTCTATTTGAATTGCAGTTTCTCTCACAATAATTTGCCGTGGAAGTTTTCTGTTTCAGAGCAATGTCTGACTCTGAGTCTGAGCCTTGTACCAATTCCTGATTGGCCACTGAGGCTTGAGCCTGATTGGCCGTACTTATTTGTCTAGACAAGGCAGTTAAAAACCTCCTTGGTCTAGCTATCTTTGCTTTCCCAGGCGTGGTCCCTGTCTGGTCTCGCGGCCGCTTGCGGGAAGAGTTCACACGCCGCTTGATATGGCAGTCTTCAGTATCCATCTTGCCTGCAGGCCTGTTTTATATCTTGTCCTTACTTGTGTCCACAGTAGTGGAAATCTGATATGAGAAAAAAAGCAAGAAAATCAGCTCAGGATGGGGTTACCTACACCTTAGGCTTTATAAGTTTATAACAGCAACTGTTTCAATGCTAAGTAGCTAGTGAGTACATGTAGTACTACTCTAGACTTAAGCCTCTAGATTTAAACCTCCTGACTGACACATAAATCTTTGAGCTACATGTATATATAAGTTATATACTTGTAACTGTTATATATAAATATATCTATTCATAAGTCTAAATTGTATGATATGCTAGGAGTTTGTTTAACTTCTCACATTACTGGGTTATTTCACCAAGGATACATTTTATATGATGTCCTTAGTTGTACCGAGAAGTTGATATTTTAACCCTCTCAGTCTGGATTTTTACCAAAAGTCTTTCTGATCCGTCGACAGTCGCCCCCCTCCCCACTTCACCGCTGTAAACTGAAAGCAAACTTCAGAACGTACGAATTCAAATGGGCAAAATGCTTCTAAAGGGGACTAGCTTATGCACAGTATTGTTGTATCACACAGTACTTACCTTTCTATCCTGTTTACTTTCTGTAAAGGAAGCTATTCCTTCGGCAGACTGCGTTTAAAAAATTTGAAACACCCTCCATCTTGGATTTTGTGTCACGTGACGGTGTCATTGGAATCGACATGGACTGGTCGACTGTAGCAGAGGGGTGAGGCTGTCAGCCTTACATTTTCAACTTTATATACGAATTTTCCCACTCTATTCTATACGTTGATAAATTGACTATTTACAAATTTTATGATGATTTTTTAATACACAAAAAGAGGCAGCGCAATATTTCACCACCATTGGTAGTTTATTAGATTTACACGAATGAGCAGATATTGTCCATTGTGTTATCTGGCGAACAAAATACAATAATATTCAACTACGTATAGCTAATGGCGTGCATCTTTTAAGTTCGAAAGCTTGAATAAAAATCTAAATCATCATCATATATAGAACTGATTTCAAAGTGTCGAATGTTCTCAGATCCAGGTTATCGTAAGTACCTGCACTTTTCGATAGTTGATGTGCTTTCTTGAAGTTTTAAAAGTTAAAAGTTTAAATTTAATATATATATATAGATCTCGGCTTCTGCTTTATACCGATCTAGAAAAGTATACCACGTCACGACTACATAAAGTAACTTACGGTACATCTATCATCTTAAAACAAACATCTGAATTTACACCGTACGTAGAGAATGTGTAAACTGAAATTCTTATGTATTACTTACAATGAAAATTATAAATTTAAATCGCAGATACTCGGGCTGATGCGGCTGCCCATGTAATTTCACTTTTAGAGTGTTTACGAAGGCACAAGACACTCATTTTAAAATGTTGCACAGAGTGTATAGTCGTTCTGGTGCTTGAGTGACTCATACAGTCATTTTAAACCTCATTGGTCATTATATTATCCTTCCTGATAAAACGCTTATGCTCAGTACGGGGGAGACCTTGCATTGCCTAGAAACTCAGCAGGCGGTACAGCATCTGAACGCCCAGTGCGACAACTGTGCTCCAAAACATGGCTTGTTCTTGCGTCCCACGACTCTGTTTGTTGAGCTCTGCAAAACAAACGAACAAACAAACTTGGGCTCAACCTTGGGCTTGACTTTTTTTAAATTGTATGTCTTTCTCTGTGATCATCTACACACACACACACACACACACACACACACACACACACACACACAGGTGCGCGCACGCACGCACGCACACACACACACACACACACGCACACACACACACATACACACACGCAGGTGCGCGCACGCACGCACACACACACACGCACACACACATACACACACACACATACACACACACGCTCGCGCGCGCGACACGCACACACCACGCACACACACACACACACAATGCACGCACGCACACACACACGAACACACATATACACGAACGCGCACACACACACACACACACACACACATTGTAACACACAAACCACACACATACACACACACACACGACACGCACGCACACACTCACTCACTCACTCAATCACACAGAGATAAAGAAAGAGAGACTGAGAAAAAGACAGATAGACAGACAGACAGACAGAAACAACATTTCTCTTCTTTCTCGACAATTATACACCACCTGTTGGTCCAAATGATGGTTCCAGACCGACAGAAGGTTCTGCAGTGTCCTGCCGACGAACGCTCGCCGTGCTGCTGACTGGAGCGGTGGACGTCTCGGCCTGCTGGCCACCACAGCCCTGCTCGTCCTCCCCTGACACACAGTCCGGGTGTCCGTCACAGATCAGATGAACGGGCACACAGTACGGGGCCGGGGCGCCGGGTCTTCCGCAGGTCAACGTCGGGCAATCACCTTCAACATGTATGATTATATACTTACGTGATTTGTGTAATGTAATTTCATCGGTTTTTTTTTATTACAACCAGACGTGGTGACGGCACACTCAAGTTTTATCAACTTATGGCCGCATCAACTTATATCAATGCGGCCACCAACACAGGGGACAAATACATGACAGGATAATACTCATTTTCACCTGACCGAAGTGAGGAAAGTCGTGTAAAGTGCCTTTCCCAATGGCACAAGATCAGGGCATGTTGGTGGCTCAGGATTACTGTGCCTGATAAAGATAACAGACGGTCATCGAAACGTCGTCTCTTGTCTAACAGGAGGTTGTGAATAAAGAACTTTTCTATTCAAGTTCCTAGTGAATTCTTTCATCAGTGACAACTTTGGAAGGATAAGGATACTAACCTCCAAATTTTCGATGGCTATCAGTCCATCTTGTTCACGGAGTGGCCTAATCTCGCGAGAGCGCGAGACTAGGCCCGAGACTTGCATCGGTCTGTCGGGTACCACCCCCCGTCGCCTCCCTCCGGAGTAAGGGTAAGTAAGTCTTGGGGAGCTCCCAACCTTCTGTCCGGTTTAGTTTGGCACCTTCCAACTGTATGTGCACCGCTTCCTTAATCTTCCTATGTGGGTTACGAGACTCTTGGTCTATGATTTCAATAATGTCAGAGATGGGCCTGGTAGTGATGTTGTGACCAGCCTGGAGTTGGTGTTGACTTAACGCAGATTTGCAGTCTTTTTGATGTAATGACTTTTGGTGTTCAGAAGTCCTTTCCCCCAGTGACCGCTCAGCTTCACCAACGTAAACCTCCCCGCACTCTTCACACTTGATCTTGTAGATCACACCGCACTTCTCCCCGGGTGCTAGAGGGTCCTTGGGTCTCACAAGGGCATTACGTAAGGTGAAGCCCGGTTTGGAGTACAGGCTCACATTGTGTTTGGCATATACACGTTTCAACCTCTCTGTAACTCCATGTATGTAGGGTAGAACCAAGTAACTCGCTGGGAGTTGTTCTTGTTTTCCAGTCTTACTCTGTTCCTTGCTACTTCTGTCCTCTCTGGAGTTGTTTTCCCCCTCCCTCAGGGCCCATTCTGGGTATCCACAGTGTCTGAGGGCTACTCTGACTTTTTCCTTTTCAGCCTCTATCAACGCGGGATCTTCAATAAGAGTGTTGGCTCTGTGCATAAGAGTCCTAATTATCCCAAGCTTCTGTTGCACCGGGTGGTTGGAGGACCACTGTAAATAGTGGTCGGTGTGGGTTTCTTTTCTGAACACATCTGTAGTGATGGTGTTGTCTGGATTCCTGACCATCATGACATCCAGCATGGGGAGACGGTTGTCTTGTTCCCTCTCAATTGTGAACTTGATACTGTCATGCTGCGTGTTGATGTGATCGAAGAGTTCCTGTTCATGTTCCTGTCTGTTCACAACGCCGGTGTCGTCTACATACCTCCCCCAGAACTTGGGGCGGTGTGGAGCAGTGTGTAGAGCTTCTATTCAATCATTCACCAACCTGATGAAATTAGGTGGGGTCGTGTGGCGTAGCGGCAGAGTGCGCGACTCGGAACCTAGAGGTGCCGGGTTCGAGTCCTGACATGCCGATCTTGTGCCCTTGGGAAAGGCACTTTACACGACTTAAATAAATTAAGGAAAATAGTCTCCACCAGACTTCTTTTGCAGACTGAGTAAAATCTATGTGATACTAGCGAGCGGAGATCCAAATAAAACAAACAAACAAACCAGCTTTGTCAGGCCCATCGCCAGGATTGCCGGCTTGCGGGCGGCCGAGGCCTTGGCAGACTTGCTCGTCCTCCGCCGTCCGGCAGTCCGAGTCACCGTCACAGAGGAACCCGTAAGGAACGCACGACGCGTTACCGTACACAGACATGCAGGTATAGCTGCAGGATCCCCATCTGCGTGCCAGGGCCTCTTCAACTGTAGCAACGGTTGTGTGTACGCGGGTCGTCAATATCATGTCAACATAAGGCAATGAAAATAAAGATGACTTAGATGACGGGGATGAACCTCTATAAGATCTTGACACGTACGACAACTGGGACGTTTGGTCTGCTGGAGAGAACAGTTTGCCGCTATCTGGCCGATTTCTACTCTTTCCAGCTGCCTCCCAAGGCCTGGTAGAGGCTATCAAAAAGCCAAAAACATGTACAGGAACACTCACTGTCACTGTCCCTTTCGTCCCCTCCGTCGGCACAGTCCCGGTGCCCGTCCCCCAGCAGCCGGGTCGGCAGACAGGTCATGTTGCCGACGCAGTGGAAGAAGCAGTTTTTGGGGACTCCTGTCGAAACGACAACGGCAACGCACAAGTTTATTGCAAAGCTATGCCCAACAGTGACTTAAGATGAATATATAGAGTATAAGTATCAGTTGTTAGTTGGTCATAAAAGTTAAGATGACCCAAAAGTGTACCAAAGTCCAAGGAGAGACACATCGATAAACGACACATCGCTAATGCAACAATAGGCAACAGTCCTCTCCTTGGTGCTGAAAACACGATTGTTGTCAAACAGTTTAAATCTTATGGCCGTTACGTTAGTCACCAGTCGAGTACCTACCCTCAACACACGCCCTCTCGTCCGTCCCGTCCGGACAGTCTTCTATGTCGTCGCAGATCCAGGTACTCGGGATGCAGCTACGGTCCGCCGCACACTCCAGCGCACAGCCTGTTCAAGAAACACAAAGAACAACATCACGATGCATTCAGCCATGCATTCAAGTATGACAGCAAGCTGGGGCGTTTGTGTTCAAGAAATCTGGTCCTCAGGGAGCGTTCTGTCTCGCCAATATAGGATTCTTCGCAGGTCCCCTGCCCAGTGGTTCCCTGACACGGAGTGCAGTACACTAGTCACTACACCACACTTGTCTTCTTAAGGTGTTTTGCCCTTCGGTGCTACGAGGAGCTGTTTCAGTATGTTTAATAGTGAGTTTGAAGCAGTTGGGTGTGCCGTGTGAAGGCGACAGTCGTCGCTGAAAATTTGATCTCTGTATAATTTGTGTGTTGGAATAAAGTTCAACGTTTTACTATGATTACTACCAACGCAGATGACCCCTCATGATAACTTGTAGAGTGCTTGATTTGCGTGACCGTACCTTCACAGGTTGCCTCGTCCTGCCCTGTTGAGCAGTCCTCTCTGCCATCGCAGGCCTGGCTCGCGTGATATCTCTCCGGTTCTCGCGAGACTACAGCACTGACGTCATCCTCACACGGACTGAACTGGCTGTCGATCTCTGCCAAGCAACAAGTCAGGGCATTATTTATAATGTGTATCAAAATAGCTCATCAACGCTTTCCTTTGACATTTGACGTGTGGCTTTGTAATGTGTTTGTTTGTGTGTCTGTATACGTATTGTAATGTTAATTTGTATTTATTTTTACTACACAATTGTAAAAAAATCAGTGTTATTCACGGCTTGTTTGTGCACTGGCTGCAAGGCTGATTTTTATGAATAAAACTTGAAACTTGAAACTTCAGGTACGTGTCTCTGTCAGTCAGTCTTACAAGACATGTAAATGTAGCTATTTCATCAGTGTTAAGATATGTTGCAGCATTCGAAATGTGAGTCTAAGCCCACTGACATGGAAATACGGTTTCGAAATAGGTGTAAGATGACCGAACGAACCCGAACAGCCGAGTTTATCTGCTGCAGTGGTCTCCTCTCCGCACTCTGTATGCAGAATGTCTTCACAAACAGGTCTGCAAGACAGAACTCCGTGAAACGTCGAGAGTTTTTACTAATCTTATATTGCGAACTTCTCGCTGATTCTGTCGGTGCATTTTCCCACTGGCTCCCATGAGATAAGAAACATGCATACAGCAAGACGTTGAAACAGGAAATGAGATAACCTTTTCTGTCACCTCTTTGAAACCTCTGAACTAACCTTTTGCTAGTGCCCACGCTTAGCGTGTGGAAATAAGTACGGAAACACAAGCAAACACACAGACACACCAGATACAAAACCTCAAGTGTGTGTGATCACTGAGTGATGAAAGTTTTGATAAGATTGTAATCTCCAAGCAGATCCTAGGGTGGCATAAGACAGTATCAAATTGGCCAGGCAGTCTACATTGGCCAGAGAGGGTCCAACACGCCACCCAAGGGAACCTCTCTGGCCAATGGATACTGAATGTCTTATGCCACCCTATGATCTGCTCGAAGATTAATAAGATTGTATTTACGTGTCTCCAAAGTGATAATCCAGGGGCACACATCCGTCGAAAAGCCGACAGAGATCTGCCCTCGCACGACATGCCTGGTCACACAGGATCTCGTCAGATGCACAGCCTGAATCATGCATGTAAGGGACAACAATGGGGTTACAATCAGCTCGTATTCTGTGTTTTTAAATAAAATTTAAACACAGCCTAGCCGGTGCAAGTGGGTAGATCATGAGTTCGATCCCCGACCGAGTCATACCAAAGACTTTAAAAATGGTACATACCGCATTCTCTGATTAGCACTCAGCATTTGAGAAAGAGTATGGGAGTTAAACACACACCGCTACCAATGGACTATCCCACTACTGTAGTGATTGCACTGTGTGGCCCAAGGGCTTAAGAAACGGAAATGGGCGCCTCCATATGCGACCATGGCCATGCGTTGAGCGCCTTACCCGGGGTGACCAGAATCTCCACCCTGAGTGCGATCCGGTTGTGGAAGGTCCGCGGGTAGAAGCGGGTGTAGAGTGCGTACATCGGTTTGTCCAACAGGTGGCGGGAGTAGCGATGGCTGACCGTGTTTCCTTGGATTACCTGAGCAGGAAAACTTGCAATGTGATCGGCAATGATACATGTCGTTACGTCAGCGCAGGCAGACTCAGCCGGTAACGGGTGACACAAAAAGTACAGACGTAATACAGATAAGATAAAAGTTCAAATCATGCAACAAACTAATGAGTACAATATACACATGTGAAAGGCGATGGTAATACATGTACAGAATAAGTAAGCAAGTCGACAAAATCATTATTAAACCTGACAAAAATACAGCTTGGCAGCATACGTCTCTACAATGCATATGGTCTTGGATGAGAAATGGGAATAGCCTGGCATGAAATCCATCCGTGAACGCTGTGCCTGCGCTCTGTCTATTGCTCTGCCTTCACGAGAGCGGAGGAACGGAGCGGAGACACAGCGTTTACGGATGGATTCCAGGCTAGAAAGGAAAAGTCGAGAAAAGGTTCTGAATATAACAGTTGTGGTTGCAAACTACCGCTTTAGGCACTTGAATGTCCACTATCTTGTTTGCCATTTTGTACATCATATAAATGTACGTTATGTGCAGTTGAACAAACCAGTTCCCCTTCGCCGCTTTCCCCGCCTGTCGCCGGCGTCCACATCAGTCCGCCCAGAGAGAAGGCCAGTGTGTATGACGTCACCCAGCGCTCCATGTTGTACGCGCCCTGGGTGACCACGCCCACAACCTTGTGTACCTTGTCGTGCTTGATCTGAAACAACAAATTGGAGAGGAGACAAGTATTTCTTTTTACACAACCGATAAATTCTCACCTTGCTGACGTTTCGGTGTCTGTCAGACACCTTCTTCAGAGCTTCTGACTGGAGTACTGCATCTCGCTGCTATATGTAGCCGATGTAGGTGGCGCTCTCCAACAAATTGGAGAGTTCAGACTTCATTTTATTTGTACTCTAGGCCAGAAGTTCCGCACAAGTCTCAGTTTTACGTGACTGATGAATCTCTTAACCGTTAAACACTTTGTTTTAAAAAAGAACATAGGAAGAACAACATTTCTAATCAAACTGAATGAAAGCTCATCCTAGCTCTTCTTCCTGAATTCCCTCTAATTCGTACTTGTTCCCGTGCAGATTCTGAGGTATTCAAGATCACCGCATTTTCTGTGACAAGGATCCAAGATTCCATGCAATCCTCGGCTTCCTGAATTCCCCACGTGAATTTGACCGGCCCATAAACTACCAATATGGTGAGACGATGATATGTTGTACTAGCCTCTAACAGGCTTCAGACGCGGCCGGAAAGAATAAAAATTGTTCAAAACCTAGTAGACAGAGGAGTCAGGGGAGTAAGTACACAGATGCATAGCGGACCCACTCCCATGACATGTTATCTATCTATTTAGTCAACCTCTACTCTTTCCAGCCGCCTCTGAAGCCTGGTAGAGGCTAGACATGTACCTGAAGCCACTGGTCCGTGTCCAGGCCCGGGGCCGGAGACCAGCACGCTCCCTGCTGCTGCCCCTGCCCGTTGTGCAGGCGGGCGTGGCGCGGGAAGAACTCGCCGTCACGCGAAGAGGCACGGAGGGCGGAGTCGGAAATCTTCGCCGGGACAGCTCCGGGGTGAACCCCGACTCCCAACGGGGCGTACTCGCCTTGCTGCAACCAAGTGTCTTCGTCTGAAAACAGAATGATGTACTATTCAATTCAATCTTTATTCAAACAACCCGCATACAAAATTCTCAGTCTGAATTCTGTTGTTCTGACAATTCAATGGTCGGTCGTTACGGGTACAAATCTTCTCTGGGCGGCTGGTTATATGTAGGATGGCCGGCAAAAGAACGCGTTAAAAATTCTACAAAACGCAGTATCAAAACTCCAAGAGGCCTGCACAGGAGCCTAACTTTGCATGCCCAACACATCCTAAAAGTAAAAGTACAACACTGGTACATGTAGCTACTGGTATCATTTAGATACTTTGTGCTTGAAATAAAACCTAGACATCTTTAATGTATGATACTTAATGTATCGCTGATTGTACCAGCAGAGAATTGCCGATTCTGCCAGATCTCTACCCTGACACGTATATTGTACCAGAGTTGGATCTGTAACTAGAAAAGTAACATTTGCAAAGCAAATGCATAATGTTTACCTTCCGATATGGTCTGCTCTGTTAATTCTGACTCAAACGCATTCACATACATGTATATGGTGACAGGAGTCTACATGCCTACTATGAAATTGCTACATTATGTAACCCAACACCAGTTACTATGGTGACAGACGTCAACAAAAGAGGCCATTGGCCAGGTCAGAGGTTAGTGTTTGGAACAGAAGAAGAAGAAATGGAGCAAAAACAATATGTTTCCTTCGGTAAACATAAAAAGAATGACGACTCACCGTTTGTGACGTACACCTCCATCACCATGGCAACCCAGCCTTCGTATCGTTCCGGGTACAGCCGGATGTAGCGTGACGTCACGGGGTCTTCGAAAGGGCTACTCACTTTCCGATACCGGTCTCTGTTCCCTGGGAACACCGTCTGGGCAAAAAAGCAGTAGATACAGGCTCAAGCATCGCAATCAACAACTTAGTAGCCATACCCATACATGAATACACCTCCAGAAACACCAACCCAACAAGAGGACACCACCTACGTTACACAATTCCTTCATGCAAAACAGATGTATACAGATTTAGTTTTTCCCACAAACAATCATTGAATGGAACTACCTACCAGCACATTTAGTCTCAGCACCAACTACAGACATCTTCAGGATGGGGTTGGCCCAATACATGGGCCTCCCCACTCCTTAGTCATTCATTACAGACACATTGCGGCCATGTTCATAGCACTGTTTATTTTTGTACACCATAAGCACTTTCTTGTTTGATTTTTTTCCCTGAACGGAGCACCTCATCCCAACGGTCCATTGTCAAGACCCTGGGCGTGATGCCCCAGTTTGGGGCTTTGCCCAGTATGATATATAGATAGATATAGATGCCCGTAGCCAGTGGGGGTTCGGAAGGCCCCTCACAAGGCTCAAAGGTAAACTTTTTATCTAAAGGTCCAAGATTTTTCTTTGAAACTTGGACTGGTTTGTATCACCAGCGGGACTGGGATCCTAGAAAAACTGCTCACCTTGTCATTAATATTTCCTTTGAAACCCTCTGCAAAACGTAGGAAATGCTATTTTAGAAGGTTCAATTTTTCACAATTTTTCCGGGGGGGGGGGAGT